CAGTTCCGACACCGTCAATGACGATTTCTACCATGAACTTCATCAGTTCTTAAGCAGAGACTGCAAATCCGATATTGTTGTCCTTGCTGGGATCTCAACGCACGGGTTGCTCGTCCATTATCTTGCGAAAGTAACCTCTGTGGTTACCATACGCTCGATGAGAGCCGCGCATTTAATGAGGGGAAACTTTTCTTTGTGCAAAGATAATCATCTGTTTCCGCCGAGCACCAGCTTTGGGCCCCCAAAGAAGCGTTCCGCTACTTGGCTTCCCTCTTCTGCGTCCAAATCATGGTCTCAGATTGATCATATCACAATCAGTTTCAGATAGTGGGGTAGATTAAAGGATTTCAGCTCCGTCTGGTCTAATTTACTTGACCCAGACCATGCTGTTCCCTGTGCGTACATCTGCATGAGTTTCGGAGGGTCCCCGAAAATAAAGCACTGTAAGGTAGACATAAATAAACTATCTACTGTCTCAGTTCAGCAGAGCTATCAAACTTCTCTGACCGGTGCACTCGACTGCGACCCACTACGAAATATTGATACACAGTGGACGTTCATGCAAGTACCTTGGTCTCTTCCGGGTAGCAAATCTGTGTTCTTACTCAGCACCCTATGAAGTCTTGAATCTCCAAGTGCTCTTTGGATCCATTTCACCGCCGCGAGAATATCCCAGTGGAGTGTAATCATAATGAAGTGCGCCATTTTGTCAGCCGGCAGCTCAAACAAAGCCTACACAATGACCGTGAAGCCTGGTGGTCCCAATGTACTTCGGAAATGGAGGCCACTGTCCTCTCTGGCAATACTCGCAAGCTCTTTCAGCTCATTCGATCCACTGGCCACAGAAAGTCTGGTGTCAGTCTGACTAGTAGCGAAGCGGATTGTTCGCCGATAGCTAACTTACAGAGATGCTTGGATCAATGGGCCGAACAATTTCATTCCTAATTCCATTGACCCTCACCGTCCACTTATATGCCCTGCGAAGCCAGTTGCCCGCCCTGTGTCGTCACATTTGATCCACCCAGCGGAGCGAAAAGTTGTCTTGCGATTCCACGCTTTAACGACACAAGTCTGCCGGCTCAGACGGACTTGCTCCGGAGCTGTTCACAGATGGAGGCTTAGTTATCATTAGCCAGCTAACCTCATTGTTCTCCAAAATCTGGCTTGAAGATAAGCTGCTTTCTTCCTGGGGTGAGTCAGTAACTGTCCCGGTTTTAAGATGGGTGCTCGCACTTTGTGTACCAATCACCGGGGGATTAGTCTCATTTCGGTTGCCTCTAAGCTTTTGACATCCATTCTACACTGTATACTATCTCTCATTCGCGAATCGCAGTACCGGAAAAACAAGCGGGCTTCCGATCCGGCTGCGGGTGTTTGGATCAGATATTCACACTGACAAATCCTGGAACACAGCCACATTTAGCAGAGGCCTACCATCGTTCCTTCCATAGATATGTGTGCTTTATTCGACTCAGTTGATCGACCTGCGTTATGGCGTCCTTTACGAAAGAAAAGAGTCCCAGCAAATTACACCGCCATCCTACGCGTATTGTATGGCCACATCTCTGGTAGAGTGAGGATCTATGGCAGGCTTTCGTCGTCCTTCGCTGTCAATAGCCGTGTGTGAAAGGGATGCCCTATGTCTCCGTTCCTCTTCAATTTTGTGATTGAAGACATCTTGTCGAGAGCTCTAGACGGTTGCCAAAATTTTGGTATACAACTATTACCGGGCAAGTGAGCAACTGACTTAGATTATGGCGATGATATCGCCTTACTTGATGAGGACTCACAGAGCATGCAAACCATTCTAGACTGTTTGGCGATTGAGGCATCTAGGTACGGAATGTGCTTTGCCCCGTCAAAGTGCAAAGTGCTGCTTTAGGATTGTCACTCAACTGTTCCCGTGCTCAATATTGAAAGGAACACAGCTTGAACAAGTGGATAGCTTTGTCTGCCTTAGCAGCTATGTGTCTGCTGGTGGTACCATTAGAAAGGAAGTTTCTCTTCGCAACGCCAAAGGTTGGTTGGCGTTTGTCAACTTGCAGCAATTGTGGTGTCGTCGGGATGTCTCCCACTTGTTAAACGGTCATGATTACAATGCCACTGTTCGGGAGGTGTTGCTATATGGAAGCAGGTCATGGTCAGTTCGCGTAGACGACATGCACCGGCGCAAGGCCTTCGACAACGAGCACGTAAGGAGGATAGCTCGTGGGTGGTGGCAACAACACATTTGCAACAGTGAAGTCAGACCGTTGTCTTAGGGAATGCGAGTATTCCCTTCAACAAGCTGATTTAGCTGCGTCAGTTAAGATGGCTCCTTCATGTCCTGTGTATATCAGCTGTGCGTTTGCCCTATCGTGCTCTGTTTACTCATGCAGGACTCAAATGGAAGAGACCACGTGGTGGTCCACCATCCACCTGTCGACAGCAAATGAAATCGTTGACTTCACATCTTGCCACCGTTGGATCCACATGTCTGCCTGGTTGGAGACCAAAGGACGATGAGTGCCGATGGCTGGAAACAAGTCAGGATATGGCTCGTAATCGAAACCAGTGGAGGATCTGTGTAAATAAACTTTTAGATTTAGATACATAATGCTCAACGGTTGAAACCGATAAAAACTTAAAAATGGTGTGTGCAAAGTAAAAAGTGCTGTCTTCTATTGCGGGCAAATGACTGAAGTGTGTGGCCCACCTTCAATTAATGTGTCATGTTGATGATACGGTGTTAAAACTCTCTTCTTCCACGGATTTCCATAGTTTGGTTGGGCTGTATGTCTATTTAATAGACTGCTGCCTATATATATATATATATATATATATATATATATATATATATATATATATATATATCTTAAGTTGGTCTACTAATTGTTCAATTTACATTTTCGTGGAACCGAAAACAAAGATATCATCTACATATGGTTTGTAATACGGCAGCTGAGGAAGCTCTCCACTTAGTTTCCTCTCGAGCATCAGCATGAAAAAATCAGCCAGTGCCGGGCCCAACGGACTACGCATAGTCACTCCATCAATTTGGCCATATGAGGTGTGCTGGAATCGGAAAGCGACACTCTCCGTGCAAAGTAACAACGACTATCTCAGGATGTCTGCCCGTATTGGCAGACGGAAATTCTCCTCTTCTATCAGGTGGCATATGTAATCAACTGACTCTAGCAAAGGGACAGCAGAAAATAACGACTGAACGTCCACTGAGCATATAACCTTGTCGGCTAGGATGATTTTGTCTAGGTCGTTGATTATTTCAAAAGTGTCCTTAGACGCATTGCGTCAGTGCAATTAGACACGACCAGGGCGAAGCTAACAAGTCTGGTGGAGACACATACTCGCCTGATGCCGGTTGTGGAGTGTCTGTCCTTATGCTGCCGTATTGTTTTCTCAATATTTTGCCAGAGACTTATCGATCGCACGAAAGAAACTTGCAGAAAGCGCCTACTGCAATCCCTGATGGAAGCAAATGACCAACTCGTTACACGTGATCTCGGTAAGTACGTCTTGAATGTGTCAGATGTACAACTTGATGATATGCAACTAGAAGCACTAGCCTTGGGGATCGATTACAAAATTACTCCCAATAAGCTGAATCGATTGTTTGTTGAAGCACAGTTTGAGAATTTTTTCGACCAAGTAGCTGAACTTCAATCAACCAGCCATGATGCTGTCAGTTAGTTTAGGAATAAGCTGACCGACATTGCTTATGAAGTCCTCAAGGTACCGGTAAACGAAAAGTGTGCGCTTACAAGCCGTCATTTAAAAGCGCTACGAGAGTTAAGAAATAAGAGAGTGATTGTACTAAAACCGGACAAAGGTTCAGGAGCAGTTGTCTTGAACAAGAGCGAGTACGTACGAAAAATGCTAAACATTCTAAGTGCCGAAAGAAAGTTTCAACGCACCGACCGGATAGAATGTCTGACAGAGGTAGAGGCCCGTACAACCCGACACCTAGAAAAGCTTCTCCTACATCGTGTAATTGACGAAACCACCTACAAACACCTGAAGCCGAGCGATTCATCGACAAGACAGCTGTACGGGTCACCAAAGCTAACAAGCAGGACATGCCACTAAGACAAATTTTGTCGACGGTAAATTCCCCGCAGCACAAATTGGCTCGGATCCTTGCGCCACTGAGGCAGCACTTGAATTTGCACACCATTAAGGACACTTTTAAAATAATCAAAGACTTAGACAATATCAGCCTAGCCGACAAGGTTATGTGCTCAGTGGACGTTCAGTCGTTATTTACTACTGTCCCTTTGCTAGAGACAGTTGATTACATTTGCCACTTGATAGAAGAGGAGAATTTCCGTCTACCTATACCGGCAGACCTCCTGAGACAGTCGCTGTTACTTTGCATGGAGAGTGTCGCTTTCCGATTCCAGAACACCTCATATTGCTGAAGATTCCCGAAAGGATGAAACGTATGTGCAGTGCTTTTCCGGGCGTGGGATGGCTGTCTGAGGGAGGATAGATGTGACGAATTTCTGCCTATACAATTCAACTTCCCCTACTACTACTTCTCTACACACAGACTGGTAAACAATTATCCACGATTTGGGTAGCCGCAGAGTGAATGGCGATTGTGGGTTAGTAGAATTCCCGATGTAAATCCAAATTCCGCTACAGTCTTAGTGAGCAACATTGATCTATAAGTTAACAAACAGTGTGTATTTTACCCTTATTTGCGTTTTTTGCTGAGCGAGATTTTTCCAATGGAGTCCGCGTCATACAACTCACGGTACAGAGAAGATTCTCATGTTGTCAGTTGCTTACTTCCCTTACCATATGCTCGTATACTAAGGCTTAAGTTCATGTAAGTATCTAATTAAAGTGTCCGTGTCTAATTATATGCAATTGTCACCTTGATTTATGAAAATGCTGATTGTGAATCGCAAATAATCTTCATTGATTCCATACAAATTTAAGCAGGCATTGTAATGTTAGTGGGATAACTTCTTTACTGTAAAGATTAGGAAACTTACGACCTCGTCTTCTGCAATCGGCTGTAACACAGACGACCAAGTTCATATGGAGTGGTTTGCAACATGTAAGATAATTCTTGAAACACTAATGTGCCCGGAGCAACCAATCCGGTAGCTAACCACAGTAGTTCCCAGCCACGTTTGCAGCTGCGACTGCAAGGAAGAAAATGGAAGAATATGGAAGATAATTGTGTTACCTAGCTATTTCAAACTACTGGCTATTGCCGTTCATCCGATTAAGAAAGGCAGCCCAGGAGGTAAAATGGGCAAACGTTGAAAGAGAGTTGTCTCTTCAGGTGTATGCTCAAATGTGGTTGAGGTGTTCACTGACCACTGGAGCTTTAACACTAATGAGATATTTTTGATAAATACGAGTCAATGATAACAAATCACCATATGTTTTAAGCCCTTTTGAATTAGCATTGAATAACCAACGAGTGAGCCCTGAGTTCGTACATAATCATCACCTAATAACTCGAGAAAACGATGTTGGTTGATCGCAGGTGAATCAAAGTGGACTGACCTTTCATCTGCGTCCACAGGTTTTATCGCATCGGACAGCAAGTACAACTCATTTCATTGTCATAACTGACAGAAAAATCCAAAAATCCTGCCACTCGTAGGCTAAATAAAACTTCAGTCAAAAAATTCTATTCGCATGTCACTGTTGCTGCTTGCAATGAATTTGGCCTGTGACATTTGTGTACATCGAAAGGCACCCAAAGTGCCCAAATGAAGTGCAACCATAAATTTTGTGTATTATACCTCATCTTTATCCATTTCGGCGCAACTCGATTGTGCTACAAGGCGAATAGCCGATGAAAGTAAATTACGTTCCGTGGTTAAGGTTAAACTTGAGGCGTTGCACTGGGAATTAAGACCGTTTCCACTTATATGGTGGGCGCGGTGGAGACGGCATCAGCGGTGGCTGTAAAATTTTCGCTCTAACCGAGGGCAGGAAAGACACCGGAAGGTCACTCAATCGGCTCAGGGTAAAGTACACATTAGTTTTCGATGAAATGAATGGGCGTCTGGTACACTTACGCAAATGTGGTGAAGATGGCCACAGTGGGACAGGTAAGGGGATCGTTGGGACAAACGTTTGCACAGGTGTGGCACATGGCGCAAAGGTGTTGTTGGTCATACAGAGTAACACTAAAACATTCAACCTACTAATTATCTGGAAATCTCGCCCTCTATAAATGGCGTTGAACAATCAACGGTACTGGAAATGCCGCCGCCTTTCACATTCCCCCCGGGGCGGACCGTCCACCTTCCCGCCCCTTTATGCGTCTCTGCATAGGCGGTGTTATGGCTCAACCTGCAGATGTAGCGCCAGTCACGCGGCACTTCATCTTATTATCCGACCGGCACACCACGCGAACACCTAGAGCAGGGATGTCCAAAGCCCAGCCCGCTGGCCAAATGCGGCCCGCGTTAACATTTCAACTGGCCGGCGGCCTCATGATGAAGGAATAAAATTCGGGCTTAAACTTTTATCATACACGTGTAATTTTTCTTATTATCCTAATATCAGACTGAATATGGCCTGACTTATTTTTACTTCACAAAAGTGGCTCTCTTTGTGAAAAGTTTAGACACCCCTAACCTAGAGATTACACCTTGCAGTAAAACCTGAGCGAAGTGAACAGTGAGACCTAGCCCTTAATGTCGGTGACACGAAAACAGCCTCCGACCATCAAGGGTGAGTCAGTATAGTGAGTCATATCCTTCGCTCAGCGAGAGCGCGATGCTTAGTGTGTCTTAGGCTAACGCACGTTTGGATCATATGCCAACCTTATCAACGTAGGTACTCGGTTGTGCTGCGAGATCAGTTTAAACTGACGGCCAATCAGAGACATGTTATGGCGGAGTTTCAAAAGCTGGAATCAAGTGTGGTTGGGGTTTTGGGGGTCTGATACAGTCGGTCGGTGCTCGAAAGGATCAGGCGCTTGAATTGTAACTCAGCTGTCACCGATTCGAACCCTCATAGGTGTGGACGACAACGCGGTATACCCACCCCATGCGTGCGCAGTGGTGGTCGCGTGTCAGCGTTGGTACGTTGTGCTTGGGTACTTTGGAATTTCCTTTCAATGATCTAATACACTATTATGAAATCGCTTCGTGGATATCTATAACGTCCGCTGAACACTTTTAGATTCCACAGCCTAATCTGGTAGGGCCGGTGAGACAAACCTTTGAGGTTCCTTGTCGCTCTGCGTTATACATTCTCAAACGCTGTGTGGTTGCGTTTCAGCTAGAGCTGCCAAACGTGTATAGCGTATGTCACGTGCGGTTTAACTTACGTCGTTTGCGGAAACACTGGAGCATCGAATATCCTAAACGCCTAACGGAGGTCGAAGAGCTAATTTTCATTCTTCAATGTCTTTTTGGTCGGTCTCAAATAACCAAGTTCCACTTGCACCATCAAGCCGCGATCACACTAATGAGAATCGTGCTGTAGAATTTGTAGCCCAAGTTGGGGGTCTTGAGTGATCTGATAGCTATGTTCCGAACTTCCCATTTGGCCATGTTGAGCTACAGCATATTCCCAGTGAACCAATTGTATATTTTAACCAGATCACTTTGAAGGGCTGTGTGATCTTTCACTGAAGGGATAGCACGCCATATTTGTATGTCGTTGGTGAATTGTAAAGCATTTGAAGAGAGCACCCCCGCGAGGTCATTTATGAAAATCGGGAACCGACGGGGTCCGCGTACTGAGCCCTGAGGTACGTCTCACTGGAATGCGATTGGGTCGAATGGGGTGTTGTGAACCATTGACTTCAGATGGCATTGGACAAGAAGGTTGCCCACACCATAATGCTGAGGCTTCCGAAGCAGAATGTGATGACCTAGAACGTTGATTGCCTTGGACAAATCCAGATGCGCAGTATCTACTCCTAAACCGGCATCTATAGATTCCGTCTAGTATTCACGAGCCATTATAGGTTTGTAGCACAGGACCGATTTTGACAAAATCCTCACCGTTCTGGAACGAGAAGTTTGTTAATCTCCAGGTACCTCATTAGTGCCTCCGCGACAATGGACTCAATAACTTTGATAACCGGAATTAGTGTTTTCGGCTCACAATTCGTCGGCTCCGCACGGCTAACACTTTCGTACATTTGAGTTATGATTTCGTGTTTCCCCATTGTAAAAGCCTTCATTTCGTTAACATATAATTGATAGGATATTGCTGAAGGTTCAGGCAAACCCATAGCAGCTACTTTCAACGCCTTTACGCGGATGCCGTTCACAGCAGGTTAGTTATAGTCACGAAAAGCCATCGACCGCTTTAGTTCATCCGCAGAGGTAAAGAATATGTGGTTAAACCCTGATGGCCTAATGACTTGTGTGGGCAGGTTATAAGATGACGGCATAATTTGGCAGTTGCGTGTTGGATATTCTGTCAGCATTCCTGATGGCTGGTCTAAACAGACATACTGCATACTACGGCTCGTGCATTTGACCTTCGTAAAACAACAGTGGCGTCGCGGCTTACGAACCTATGCCATGAAGTTACATCCTCCTACTTTTTACTGGTCTGATTCGACCTTACGTCATACCGAAAGAGCATGGGCCCAGTGGAGAACCTGGTTTACATACTATCTTGACCTACTACCTGCGGCCTCTAACTACACTGAAGGCCAGAAACTGAAGCTTCTCAGACACCTACTCGGTGATGAGAGACAACGTCAATTTGATGCTTTGGAACTATAGTCACAAGTACCTTAACGCAAGCACTAGAGGTGCTGGACAAGTCATGGGGCTAGCCTACAACGCTCTTCATGGCTCGCCTCAAAGTCCGCCGACTTACACAGGAACCATCGGAAACTCTAGACGATTTCGTTGATCACCTCATTCGCGGTGTACGACTCTGCGAGCATCCAACCATATCGAAAAATAGAATTGATGGCGTAATGCTAATGCAGCAGTTGATTAGTGGAATCACCAACAAACGAATTCTGGAATGTCTACTTTCCGAAGACAATTCCAAATTGACTTGGGATAAGGCTGTGGAATTAGCTCGCCTCAAAACATGTACGACCGAACAGTTGCGATGTTTCGCCACCCACGCTGACATACAAGAGGTTACCAAGATCCATCGCTCGCCAACCGAATCCCAATTCCCACAGAAATGCTTCTGCTGCGGTAGCCTACATCATAAAGCCAATTTTACCAAGTGCCCTGCCTTAGAAATGGATTGCAAAAAGTGCGGTAAGCGTGAACATTATGCCCGTTGTTGTCGTTCAGCACGCATTTCTCAGTTGCTTCCTACAGAATCCGTTTCTAGTCAGCAGTTACAGTCCTCTGAAAATGTATTTTCCATTAATAACACAGGTACTGTGTCTAAATATCGTTCCAATTTTACAGAGCTTAAACCACTTATGCCTGACCTTTTTACTGTTACAGTTATTGCACACGATAGAACAACACATGTTGACATCGAACTTGATTAAACCTCTCCTAGCACTATAGTACCGAGTAGTTTTCATGACATTCACCTACATGGCATGCCTATACATCTTTCAGCCTATCGATTTGACATTTATACAAAGGCCCCGGTAGAAATACGGGAATTTGTAGTGCTTGTGTTGCAACTTGGGGCCGTGGAATCATCAGTTGCTGTGTACGTTACCAGGGGAAATAACCGTCCCTTACTCGGACGCAACGCTATGGTTGCACTGGGAGTCACGCCGACCATATCTCGTATGCGTATCATGGCAATTAACCTATCAGACCAACAGATACAGTACCCGAAACTGTTTAAACAAACAACAGGGCGCGCTCCCTCCTCCGTTGACCCATATGTTTGAAGCAGGATGCTAAACCGGTAGCTATTGCTCATCCAGGTCCAATAACTTTGACCAGAAGAGAGGTCGTTTCGTCAGTATTACGGCAAATGATTGTAGATGATCTCATTGAACCCATTAACTGTTCTGAATGGGTCCACCCTATGGTTACAGTCCTCAAGGAGGACGATACAGTAAGAATATGCAATGACCCGCAGGCCCTAAATCTTCAAATTGTGGTAGAAAAGTTTGTGCTTCCAACTGCGGAAGAGCTATTAAACTAGCCGGCACCCGATTTTTTTCAAAATTGGACATTAGGAAGGCTTTCTTTCACCTGTCTCTAATAATGTAGTCAAG